TGTCTTCCTTGCTGGAGCGGGATCGCGATGCTCCCGCGGCGGATCCAGGCCATGTGCGAGTCGTGCACGCCGGTCGTTGAAAGTAGGTATGTTTGGATTCCCAGATCCCACAGTACTTCAAGCGCCTTCCTACTTCAAGAATCGGCATGCTTCTGCTGTCTTCTGTTGTTCTCTGGGAGGGCCCGGACCCAATCCACCTCATCCGCCTTCCTACTTCATGTTTCTACCTGCTTCTCCCGACCGACGTGTAACCTTGCGAGTCGTGGAACGCGCCTGCCCAGTCAGGGGAGGATCTGCTCAGGAGGGGGCGCGTCGACTCCCGGCGGGCCCCCGGTCGCCGCCGGGGGCCCGAGGGCCCACCCCCTGCCATGGGCCGTGCGGGACTGAGCCATCGCCAGGAGGGGGCAGAAGCACACAGACAGAATCAATCGTCGATTCCCCAGAAAATATGGGAAAGCATGGGAACTGGAGGGGAAGACCAAAGCCCAGAAAATCTGGGGAAATGTGGTGAATCCTGTCACTTGTGTCTATTTATTCGTGTGTCCCAGGGCCCCTTGAAATCGAGGGCCTCTCGCCGAGCTATCGACGATGTACTGCCGATCTATCGACGATCTGTCGACGATCTGTTGCCGATCTATCGAGGATCTGTCGACGGTCCATCGACGCTCTATCGATGATCTGTTGCCGATTCAGGCTCGACGTGTCCCCCCCCCCTTCGGGAGCTGGTGCCCCCCCCTGAGGCGTTGCCCCACTCGGTGCCCGGCCGGCGGGGAGCAGGGGAGACGGGGGCCCCCCCCGCGTCGCCGCGGCCGGGCGCGGCCCGAACGAAGAGCGGGCCTCGGAGGAGTCTTCGTTGTCGCCGTCCTTGTCTTCGCCGCCGCTGCCGTCGCCGCCGTTGGGTTCGCCCCCTGTCGCCCCGCCGCAGTGCTGCCGGAGGCGACCGAGGGGTACCCATATCTCTACCCTTCGCCCGTTTTCCCTTTTTTTGGGGCCTCCTGGGAGGCCCTCGCCGCCACCGCTGGATTCGCCTCGGGATTCTGGTCAGACCGCACCCCAGGAGAGGTCCGGGAAGTGGCGGTATCGGTACCTTTTGGTCTCCCCAGGGTCGGCTTGGACCGTGGGAGAGGTCCGGGGGCGGATTCGGAGCGAGTTTGTCTGCCCCCCCCTCCTTGACAGGCTTTCTGTGGGCCTCTCCAGCTCAGAGCCCCCCGGTCGCCTCCCTCCAGGAATCATGGTCGGCATGGACCAGAAGGACAGCTACGTGGGCGACGAGGCCCAGAGCAAGCGCGGCGTCCTCACCCTGAAGTACCCCATCGAGCACGGCATCGTGACCAACTGGGACGACATGGAGAAGATCTGGCACCACACCTTCTACAACGAGCTCCGCGTGGCTCCAGAGGAGCACCCGGTGCTCCTCACGGAGGCGCCCCTGAACCCGAAGGCGAATCGCGAGCGCATGACGCAGATCATGTTCGAGACTTTCAACGTGCCAGCGATGTACGTCGCAATCCAGGCAGTGCTCTCGCTGTACGCCTCCGGCCGCACCACTGGGATCGTCATGGATTCCGGCGACGGCGTGTCGCACACCGTGCCCATCTACGAGGGCTACGCGCTGCCGCATGCGATCCTGCGCCTGGATCTGGCGGGGCGGGACCTCACGGAGTACTTGATGAAGATCCTTACCGAGCGTGGCTACTCGTTCACCACCACGGCTGAGCGAGAGATCGTGCGCGACGTCAAGGAGAAGCTCTGCTACATCGCGCTCGACTTCGACACTGAGATGAAGGCCGCCACGGAGAGCTCCGATAAGGAGAAGACGTACGAGCTTCCCGACGGAAACATCATCACCGTGGGCAGCGAGCGCTTCCGCTGCCCCGAGGTCCTCTTCCAGCCCAGCTTCGTGGGCAAGGAGTCTAAGCAGAAAAGCGGAATTAGAGTCAGAGCCCGCTATCCCCAAGCAGCATTTTTTGAGCCGAGGTGGTTCCTCGAAGTGTTCGCGCGTCCTCCTGCTCCTGCTCCGCCTGCGCCTTCGGCGTTGTCGTCGAGCTTTTCGTCATTGTCGTCGTCGTCCTCCTCCTACTCCTCCTCTGCATCCTCGTCATTCTCTTTCTCGCCCTCGCCCTCCCCCCTTCCACTCCTCCTCCTCCTCCTCCTCCACCTCCTCCTTCTCCTCGTCCTCCTCCTCCTCCTCCTCTCTTGCTCCCGTTCCTCCTCATCCGGATCCTCCTGGTTCTCCTCCTCCTCCCCCTCCTCCTATCCCTCCTCGTCTCACTCGTCCTCGTCACCCTCATACGAATCTTCCTCATCCTCCTGTTGGTATTCCTCGACGTTCTCCTTGTCCTCCTCCTCGTCATACTCTATTTCCTCATCGCACTCCTCATTTTCTGTTTCCTCATCCTGCTCCTCCTGTTGGCAGCGCAGTGCTCCTCCTTGTATTCCTCGTACTCTTCCTCGTGTTCCTCGTCCTCCTCCTCTTCGCAGTGTTCCTCCTCCTCTTCCTCCTCCTCCTCCTCGCAATGCTCCTCCTCCTTCCCGTTCTCGTCCTCGCATTCCTCCTCCTCCTCCTCCTCGTCCCTCCTCTTTTCCGCTCCCTCCTCAACGCCAGGGATGCCTCCGTGCTCTCGATGCCGCTTCCAGGAGGCATCCTCGCTGGAGATGCCCTCAGACAGGTAACCTTGGGCCTGGTGCCGTCTCCCTCCTCCAGTGCTCCCTTTTCCTCCTCCCCATTCCCTCTCCTCCTCCTCCTCCGCCTCCTCCCCCTCCCCCTCCTCCTCATCCTCCTCCTCCTCCTCCTCCTTCTCCTGCCCCGTCCTGCTCTTCTCCCCCCTCCTCCTCCTCCTCCGCCTCCTCCTCCTCCTCCTCCTCCTCCTCCTCCTCCTCCTCCTCCTCCTCCTCCTCCTCCTCCCCCTCCTCTTCCTCCTGCCCCATCCTGCCTTCTCCCTGCTCGCCGTGCCCTCGCCCGAGGCACCTCCACGATCTGCTCAAGAGTGGCTGCCCCCGAGAAGCCCTCGGCATTTCCCCAGAAGTCGCGCTCGCGCCTGGGCGCCGCTGCCTCCTCCGCCGGGCCGTGGGCGCCAAGAGATCGATAGCATGGAAGTAATCAAACGGTTCGGCAAGACCACCGTGCACATTTTCTCGAAGCCCAGAGTTGCGAGGACGTGTCAGGCGAAACGGCCTGGACCATCTCGCGCGCGACATTTGGGAGCTCACAGTTGCGAAGATGTTTTAGGCGGCGCCCAGACCCTTCCTACAGCAGAATTTGAGAACAGAAGAGTATTCAAATGGGTCGTTTGGGTCTGACCTTTACTTCCTCCTCCCTCCCTAGAGTTTGGAGGATGTCTCAGGCGACACGCGCTTGAATACCTTGCGCCCAGCATCTCGGAGCCCAGAATAGCTAGGAAGTCTGAGCCGAAGTGCGCTGGACCACCGCGCGCGCTGCGTTTTGGAGCCCAGGATTGCGAAGATGTTTCAGGTGAAACGCGCCGACCACCTCGCGCGCGGCAGCTGGGAGCCTAGAGTTTTCAGAAAGTCTCGGCCAAAACGTGTCGGACCAACTCTCGTGCGGCATCTCGGAGCACAGGGTGGCGAGGATGTCTTCAGAGTTGCGAGGATGTCTCAGGCGAATCAGGCTGGATCACCTCTCGCGAAGCATGCTCGAATATCAGAATTGCGAGGATGTTTCAAGCGAAATGCGCCAGACCACCTCTCGCGCGGCAGCTCGGAGCTCAGAGTTGCGAGGATGTTTCAGGCGAAACGCGCCAGACAGCTTCGCGCGCGGCGTCTTGGAGCTCAGAGTTGCGAGGATGTCTCAGGTGAAACGGGCTGGACCACCTCGAGCGCGGCAGCTCGGTGCTCAGAGCTGCGAGGGTTTCTAAGGCGACATACGTTGGACCACCTCGGGCGTGGCGTCTTAGATCCCACAGTTGCGAGGATGTCTCGGGCGAAACGGGCCGAACACCTTCGCGTGCGGCATGCGAGGATGGACCAGGCGGTGCTCAGATTTTCCCCCGAGCACAAATCGGGACTGACCCCTCCACCCTCCTCCCTCCCCCCTCTCGGAGCCAAGAATTCTTATGTGGTCTCACACGACACGCGCCAGATCACCTCGCGGGCAGCACCTCGGGCGAGAGACGCGCCGGACCACCTCGCGAGCGAGCCCGGAGGTGCGAGGATGTCTCAGGTGAAAGGCGCCAGACCGCCTCGCGCGCAGCATCTCGGAACTTCGAGTTGTGAGTACACGCTGGTCGTTGAAAGTTGGTATTTTTGGATTCCCAGATCCCAATATACTTCAAGCGCCTTCCTACTTCAAGAATCGACACGCTTTTGCTTTGCTTTGTTATTCCTTGGGGGGGCCTGGACCCAATCAACTTAATCCGCCTTCCTACTTCATGTTTTCACCTACTTCTCCCGACCGACGTGTATGCTTCAGGCGAAACGGGCCGGACCACCCCTCGCGGACCGCTTCTCGCGTGGCATCTCGGAGCCCAGAGACGCGAGGATGTCTCAGGCGAAGCGCGCCGGACCACCACTCGCGCGGCAGCTCGGAGCCCGGAGTTGCGAGGATGCCCGAGTCCGGCCAGCTCAGGGTGTCCAGAGTTGTGAGGATGCCCAGAGTCTTGAGGATGCCGGAGTTGTAAGGATGCCCAGGAGTTGTGAGGATGGTCAGAGTTGCGAGGATGCCTAGAGTTGTGAGGATGTCTCTGGGCGAGACGGCGCGGGCCGCTAAGGCTTCCGGAGGCATGTCTCTGGGCGCTCGCCTCTCGGTGGAGGAGGGAGGAGGGAGGAGGCAGCCGGCAGGCGGAGTGTGGAAACGAAGGGAGGACGAATACGAGAAAGAGAGGGAGAATGAGGAGGAGGGAGGAGGAGGAGGAGGAGGAGGAGGAGGAGGAGGAGGAGGAGGAGGAGGAGGAGGAGGAGAGGAGGAGGAGGAGGAGGAGGAGGAGGAGGAGGAGGAGGAGGAGGAGGAGGAGGAGGAGGAGGAGGACGACAACGACGACGATGACAAGCGCTCGGCCGCAGCGTAGCGTAGGCGGGAGGCTTTGGATTACAAACCGTATCAGGCAAAACGGACCGGACAGAGTTGCGAGGATATCTCAGGTGAAACGGGTAGGGCCACTTTGCGCGCGGCAGCTTGGTGCTCATAATTGCGAGAATGTCTCAAACGAAACGCGCCACACCACCTCGCGCGCGGCTTCTTGGAGCCCAGAGTTCCGAGGACGTCTCAAGCGAAGCGCGCCGGACAACCTCGCGCGCGACATTGCGGAGACCAGAGTTGTGCGGACGTCTTTGGCGCAATGCGCTGCGCCACCTCGCGCGCGACATCTCGGAGCCCAGAGTTGCGAGGATGTCTCACGCGAAAAGGACTGGACCACTTCGAGCGCGGCATCTCAGAGATCAGAATTGCAAGGATGTTTCAGACGAAACGCACCAGATCACCCCGCGCGCGGCATCTTAAAGCCAACATTTGCGAGGATGTCTCAAGTGAAACGCGCAGGACCATCGCGCGGCACCTCGAAGACCTTAGTTGCGCGGATGTCTCAGGCGACACGCGCCAGACCACCTCGCGCGCAGGATCGCGAAGCTCAGAATTGCGAGGATTTCTGGTGCGAAACGCGCCAGACCACCTCGCGTGCAGCCTATCAGAGCCCAGGTTTGCGAGGATGTCTCAGGCGCAACGGACCAGATCACCTCTTGCGCACCAGATCGGAGCCCGGAGTTGCAAGGATGTCCCGAGCGAATCGCGCCGGACCACCTCGCGCCCGGCATTTCGGAGATCAGAACTGCGAGGATCGGCACGAACGAAATGGGTACGGAAAAATGGGTACAATGCCCAACAGCAGTTCCTGTTCATTCTGGACAGGGCTCGCTGTCCGCGCCGCCGCGGCCTGTGTCCATTTGAGACAGAAGGCCGCCTGCCCAACAGGGGCCGCTGCTGGTTTGGGACAACATTTGTTGTTGGGCATTGTACCCATTTTTTCCGTACCCAGTTCGGGCGTCCAAAGAGGATGTCGCAGGAGAAGCGCGCCGGACCACCTTTTGTGCGGCCTCTCGGAGCTCCGATGTTCGAGGATGTCTCAGACGAACCGCCCAATACCAGCCAACTCGGAAGCGGGAGTTGTGAGTATGTCTCAGGCGAAACGGCCCAGACCACACAATTCGTCTGAGGGTCTCTGCTTTGGCCGCCCTCGGCCAGAACTAGCTTCTATCGCAACAGCACCCCGTCCAGTAAGCTGTTCGGGGAGTGAAGGTGAACTTTCACAGGTCCTCGCGGATTTCTTGGATCGGCGCTGATACCTCCTTGCGGCGCCTTCGGTGCCGCCCTTGACGCGCTCCGCGCGCCAAGGGGGGGGAGGAGGAGGAGGAGGAGGAGGAGGAGGAGGAGGAGGAGGAGGAGGAGAAAAGGGAGGATGAGGAGGAGGAGGAGGAGGCCAATCCAAGGAGTCGACGCGGACCTCGCACGGTTTGTGCTCCTGAAGTTTTCTCTTCTTGTCAGGAAGCCAGCGGCATCCACGACACGACGTTCCAGTCGATCATGAAGTGCGATGTCGATATCCGCAAGGATTAAGTCGGGCCTGTCCCTCTACAGGGGGAATATTCAAAATAGTTAAAAGTTTGGGCATCTTTTTGGACATGTTTTGAGTATTTTTATTTTTTCGTCTAAAATCCCCTTGTAGGGGGACAGGCCCGACCTAACGCAAGGACTTGTATGCCAACGTGGTGCTGTCCGGTGGCACCACGATGTTCCCAGGCATCGGCGAGCGTATGACCAAGGAGCTGACAGCATTGGCGCCATCCACAATGAAGATCAAGGTCGTGGCTCCGCCAGAACGCAAGTACTCAGTGTGGATCGGTGGGTCCATCCTTTCCTCGCTGAGCACCTTCCAGCAGATGTGGATCTCCAAGGGTGAATATGACGAGTCGGGCCCTACAATCGTGCACAGGAAGTGCTTCTGAGGGTTTGCCCTCAAGTGATTTTGGGAGCCAGCCACGCTAGAATCGTCAGACGTGTTGGATGGAGGTTGTTCGCTTGCCTTACGCTCCAAGGTTCACGGCTGGCGCTGATAGCGTGAATTCGTAGTGGTTGCACTGGCGGCTGAAGTGTGCCAAGACAGCTGCTGAGGCCTCTGGCCTTCAGAGCTGTTTTTCCAGCTGCGCTTGTGCGGGCCATGTCTTTTGCTTGCAGGTCGGGATAAACGACAGGTGGGGATAGGCATAGGGAGGGATGCGTCGATCCCCGCCCCCAACCTGCCTAGGAACGTGCGGATTCGCAATCGGGGGCCTATCGCCGATCTATTGGCAGTGCATCACCGATTTCACTTCGATGTGTCCCCCCCCCCCCCTTATGCCAGTCCCCCCCTATCGTTGCCCCTCAGCAGGCGCTCCTTGTGACAGTCTGCGCCTGGGAGGCACCGCCTGCACGGCACCCGAACGGCACGCCATCTCGGCGGAGAGACGAAGGTCGACGCTTCGCGAGGGTCCATAGCAACAATTGAAAGCGCGTTTGTTTGTTTGTTGGTGTTTTTTGTTGCTCGTGTGCTTGCTTGTTTGTTTGTGTTTTGTGTGTGTGTGTGTTGTGTGTGTGTGTGTGTGTGTGCTGTTTGTGGTGTGTGTGTGTGTGTTGTGTGTGTGTGTGTTGTGTGTGTGTGTGTGTGTGTGTGTGTGTGTGTGTTTTTCCAAGTGTGTATGTGTGTGTGTGTGTTTCTGGTCATGACGCCCGCAGGTCCTCCCTTCTGGAAGCAACGGGGTCCCGAAGGACGGCTGGGTCACCCGCGGGGGCGCGAGGACAGTGGCGCTCCGCGCGTCGGAAGGAAGGGCTGCCCTTCTCTTCCGGGGGGGGGCGGCGCAAAGGCGCGAGGGCGCAAAGAGAATCGCGCGTCGCGCCTCGCGGGGCGCGGGGGCGCGAAGTCAGGTCGCCCGGTTTCTGCCTTCTGGAGCTCTTCCTTGCCCCAGGCAGGAGGCCACGCGCGAACCCCACCCCACCACCCCACGATTTCGAAGGGGGGAGGTTGGGCCCACTTCGTTCGGGACCTCCCGAGCGAAGTGAACCCCACCTCCCCCCTTAGAAAGCGTTGGGTGGCGGGGCAGGGTTCGCATGTGGCCTCCTACCAGGATCGTCCTGGGTATGTTTGTCTTGGCAGAAGCCCTTGTGTCGGGACCCGCTTTCCCGAGGACCCCTTCCTGGATCCCCGTAATTAGAGCTCTGGGGCCGTCCTGGGGGCGATCGCGGACGCCCTCACGACCAAAAAGGCAAGAGTGCTTTAATCATACAAGCATGGGCGTTTGAGTAATTTTTTCCTCGTCGGCCAACACCTCAGGTCTCCAAGGCAGCCCAAGTCAGAGACTCATGAAGCTCTCACGGACTCCAGGATCCAATCACGTTCACACTAAAGCCCGCTCATTCTCAGACTCGCTTATATTCAGTCACGCGTACTCAGACTCACTCGCAGTCAGACCCAATCACACCCAAGCGCTCATGTGCACACGCGCTGACACTCATATACTCATCCATATCCATGCGCACTTATACCCAGACCCACTCGTAATGCCCCGTCTTGCGGCACCGTATGATCCACTCGCTCCTAGTCAAATCCACTCACACTCAGACTCACTCACGCCTATATTCGTTCATTCCCGACACATTCGTACTCCGATTCGCTCATACTCGGAGTTGCTCATACCACGCCACTCATACTCAGACTCGGTGCCGTTCAGACTCTCTCATGCTACTCAGCCACTCGTCTTCAAATTCGCTCACAGCCACACGCGTACCCACTTCCATTCGGACACACGGAACGGACGAACCTTCGCGTCGAATCATCTCCTGTTTGTTACTACTCCCTTGTCCTCCCCTTTTCTCTGTCCTCTTTCCTTGGGCTCTCATGGGGCAACTTTCGGGGCCGATTCGGCGCCATGGCGACGAGAGGAACGCTCCCCTCGCGGCCCTTCGGCCTTCGAATGACTTCGACCCTCGACCAGATCCTCGATACCTCGGTCGTGGAGAGGAGGGAGGAGTTCGGCAGCATGTCATGGGAGCCTGGTGTACCCTCTTGATGCCGTCTTCAGCGTCGACTCGCGTCGATGAGCGTGTGGGAGTCGAGGAGATAACGCCGATGTTGCGCCGATTCGCGTGGATTCGCGTCGATTTGGCGTCGATTAGCGCCGATTCGCAAGAGCCAGCAAGATGGCATGGGGTCTCCCATGAGCTCCCGCTGACGAGGATCGGAGCTGACGTGGATCGGCGAGGGAGCTGACGTGGATCGACGACGGACCAGAGCCGACCTGGATCGAGTCGACGAGGATCGGAGCTGACGAGGATCGGAGCTGACGAGGGAGCCGACGAGGATCGGGGCTGACGAGGGAGCTGACGAGGATCGGAGCTGGCGGGGACCGGCAATGCCAGGCACCCGGAGCTGACGTGGATCGGCGAGGGCCACGACGACTGCTTCCTGGAGCCGCGGGGGCCTCGCGCCCTGCCGCCCCCCCCCCCCAGGGTGCGGCCCTCGAGGCGGCAGGCCCTCGGAGCTCCTGCACGTCTGGGGGTGGCCTCCCCCCTCGCGACTGCCAGAGGTCTCGGGAGAGCCCTGGGGACTCTTGGAGATCTCGGCAGACCTCTGGAGAATCCGCCTTCCTCCCTGCTTACTCGTCGTCGTCGTCGTCGTCCTCCTCCTCCTCCTCCTCCTCCTCCTCCTTCTCCTTCTCCTCCTCCTTCTCCTCACCTCCTCCTCCTCCTCCTCCTCTTCGTACTCGCCCCTTTTGTCCAGAAGCCTTCGCCTCTCCCCTCTCTACAATTTTCAGCAAGGTCCGCGGAAAACACGTTTTTTCCCAACCATCCTGTGGTGTTGGGTCCTCGTTTTGACGAGACGGTGGCCCGCGTCTCCTCTCCTCCTCCCCCCCCTCTTTGCGTTTTACTCACTCAGCACAGCGTTTCGTAGCCCCATAGGGAGCTCCACCGAAGGCCCCAGTGGCAGGGTTCGCATGGCGGCCTCGGGCCATTTCGGCACACCCCTCACTAGGATCGTGGCCCCATAGGGAGCTCCACCGAAGGCTTCAGTGGCAGGGTTCGCATGGCGGCCTCGGGCCATTTCGGCACACCCCTCACGAGGATCGTGGCCCAATAGGGAGCTCCACCGAATGGCTCCACCGAATGCGCCAGTGGCAGGGTTCGCATGGCGGCCTCGGGCCATTTCGGCATACCCCTCACGACGATCGTGGACCTATAAAGGGAGCTCCACCGAAGGCGCCAGTGGCAGGGTTCGCATGGCGGCCTCGGGCCATTTCGGCACACCCCTCACGAGGATCGTGGCCCCATAGGGAGCTCCACCGAAGGCGCCAGTGGCAGGGTTCGCATGGCGGCCTCGGGCCATTTCGGCACACCCCTCACGAGGATCGTGGCCCCATAGGGAGCTCCACCGAAGGCGCCAGTGGCAGGGTTCGCATGGCGGCCTCGGGCCATTTCGGCACACCCCTCACGAGGATCGTGGCCCCATAGGGAGCTCCACCGAAGGCGCCAGTGGCAGGGTTCGCATGGCGGCCTCGGGCCATTTCGGCACACCCCTCACGAGGATCGTGGCCCCATAGGGAGCTCCACCGAAGGCCCAGTGGCAGGGTTCGCATGGCGGCCTCGGGCCATTTCGGCACACCCCTCACGAGGATCGTGGCCCCATAGGGAGCTCCACCGAAGGCCCCAGCAGGGCAGGGTTCGCATGGCGGCCTCGGGCCATTTCGGCACACCCCTCACGAGGATCGTGGCCCCATAGGGAGCTCCACCGAAGGCCCAGTGGCAGGGTTCGCATGGCGGCCTCGGGCCATTTCGGCACACCCCTCACGAGGATCGTGGCCCCATAGGGAGCTCCAAGGCGGCTCCCCATGGAGCTCCACCGACCCTCAGTGGCAGGGTTCGCATGGCGGCCTCGGGCCATTTCGGCACACCCCTCACGAGGATCGTGGCCCCATAGGGAGCTCCACCGAAGGCGCCAGTGGCAGGGTTCGCATGGCGGCCTCGGGCCATTTCGGCACACCCCTCACGAGGATCGTGGCCCCGTAGGGAGCTCCGCCGAAGGCGCCAGTGGCAGGGTTCGCATGGCGGCCTCGAGCCATTTCGGCACACCCCTCACGAGGATCGTGGCCCCATAGGGAGCTCCACCGAAGGCCCCAGTGGCAGGGTTCGCATGGCGGCCTCGGGCCATTTCGGCACACCCATCACAAGGACCGTGGCCCCACTGGAGCTCCACCGAAGGCGCCAGTGGCAGGGTTCGCATGGCGGCCCCGGGCCATTGCGGCACATCCCTCACGAGGATCGTGGCCCCATAGTTGTGCTGCTTCAACAACCGCGCCTGGGCGTGGTACTCCGCCTTGTCGACGTGCAACGCCACCTCCTCCCTCGTGGTTCTCAAGGCCCTCTCCTGCTTCTGCTCCTCGGTGAGAGGGACGCCGTCCTTGTCGTCGTCGGCACCCGCGAAGATGGCCACGAACGTGTCCCTGAGCATGTCGGGCTCCGGCGGGGAGCCGTGGCCTTATAGGGAGCGCGGGCGAAGATGGCATTCACAATTGCGGTATTCACAACTGCATATGGTTGGGTCCTTCGCCAGGCTAATTTCCTTCCGTCGGCGGCTAGGCAGAGGGTGACTGCGCTGGTGATGTCGGGCATGAACGGCAGTACCGTTGGGCCAAATTATGCCACCATGCAGGAGGAGGAGGGAAGAGGGACGCGGCCGGAGGAAAATACGGACGGGGCGGGCGGCTCAGGGGTCAGAGCGCTCCCCGAGCGTGTGGCGCGGCCGGCCCCGCTGCCCGGCGCGCGGCGGCTGCTACGTCAACGAACCAGGGGCCGTGGGGCCCAGTGCGAAGACGAAATCTGAAGGTGAATGCGTCAGTGTCAAATCCGAGGCTGCCCAACCCCAGCGCGGGTGCGCTGGGAGCCACGGGGTGGTGCCACTGGGTGGTGCGCCAGCGGCGGGCGGCAAGACCTGGGCCCAGGGCTGGTGCGGGCGCCAGCGGCTGGCGGAGAAGGGCGGCGTCAGCCGCCACGCCCTGGCGGCGCGGAGGAGGGGGGAGCGAGCGAGGGGGTGGGGACAGCGAACAGGGAGGAGGGCGCCCACAGGTGGGGCGGCCGGCAAGGGGGAGGAGCACCGAGCAGGTGCGAGAGAGATGCGCTGTGCGCCTCCGGGCGGGGTGGCGGGAGGCCCGCAGCGGAAGGGGAAAGGCCGGCACCGCCGAGTGCGATGGCGCGGCGCCGAGCAGGCGCAGTGAGGTGAAGCAAGAAAAGGAAGGCAGGGTCCTGGAGACGAACCTGCGGAAAACGCACGAAACCGTCGGACGGCCGCTGAGACGACGACGACGACGACGACGACGACGACGACGACGACGACGACGACGACGACGACGACGACGACGACGACGACGACGACGACGACGACGACGACGACGACGACGACGACGACGACGACGATGACGACGACGACGACGACGACGACGACGACGACGACGACGACGACGACGAC